AGCCGAGAGTAAGTTTCGAAGAAGTAAAGCTCAAGAACTACCCAGAGTGCAAAAGAAGTAGTAGCTGTGCAAGAGGTATCCGCTCTGTTCCCCCCCCCCCACCCTTCCCCCTCCCAATCACTGACATGGGTTGATGGCGACCTAACTAGCTCACTTTATTATTTTAGCATATACAGGGGTGGCCAAAAAAAGAGACACTTCACTCAACATTCAAAACGGAATTATTTACGCGTCGCGAAACCAAACCAAATGACCCCAACTGAATATTGAAGAGCACGTTATAATCTATCAACAAGCTACACAACAGCCTTCTACACCGACGACATCAGAAGATTTTCCCACGGAAGCATTGTGCACGGTACGAGCTCAACGAGGTCGTCGAGATACCATAGACGATTACGACGTCTCTGAAACGCTGGTCAAAAGCGGTTTTGCATAGTCACAGCTAATGTCTCTGGAAGCTATTCACCAGTAATCCATTGAAGAAATTATGTAGCAGCTTCAGGCCGGAGCGATTACGGTAAGCCTCGTTGAGCTCGACGGTGACGGCAGATGACGTCATATTCTGAAGACGGCGGGGGCAGTGAAGGAGGGCCTGCTTCTGTTTACGGGGGAACACCTAAGGAATATTCGCCGTAAAACTTTCATTAACATCGGCTCCCTGTGCGACGAAAATGATGTGCGCCATGGGCTAAGTGTCTCTTTTTTTTGGCCACCCCTGTATATTGCACGTGAAAGCAACGTGGCTTGGATTGCTGGGCACTAAAAAAAAGCGCCTTTAAAAAATGGACACTGCTGCTTTGTAAGCTCATGAAGCGTACGCTGTATAGATTGCAGCGCTTTCAAGTCTTAAAAATGCGAATCATACCACAGTATGAGCGTTGCACTGAGAAGGGGCATCGCTCACAACAAGAGCATATTAGACTCTCATCAGGGCTGCTCTCAACGCTAAGGATGCTAGACGGCTAGATGCTCAGATGGTGAGAAAGAGGGCGTGCCGCGGCGTAAGCGGCTCGGTCTGCGCCCTTACGAGGTCCGCTTAATTTCCACTAAGTTTCCCCATTCTCCGACCCTCGGCCTTCCCGTTAAACCCTCCGCCAAAGAGTCGCAGAACGTGACTCTGAAAAGCTGGGGCCTGATGCTATCCTCCCCAGGTGGCGCGTCTCTTCTCCGGTGCAATCCGAAGGTTGAGGGCGATAGGGTGGCGCCCATATCGCTCATGGAGCTCGTAATTCGGTGACGACGTCCACCATTAAACTGGAGCATAGAGGGAGAATTGCCATCTGCAACTTCCTCGACAGTTTCCTTATTATTTATTTTTCAGTCAAGAATGATTAGCACCAATAACTTCGTAAATGAATAGTATTACTCCCCAATCCTTTATGGCGAGTTTCGCCTTCAAAGGCAAAACGGGATGAAAAGGGTGCAAAAGAGCGTTCATTAATAAAGCTAGAGGCGGGGAGTGGTCCGGAAGAAAAAAAAAGGAAGAACGAGAAATCCTCGATCACGCCCTTGATAAAAACCTCTTCGGATTCCCTTCTTGGGATAGAGGAGGGGCGTACTGGACGAATTTCACTAACGTAGCTCCAATAGCTCCCCCCAATGGCATTAAGCGGCAGCGCAACCGCTGCCACAACTGCGGTCGACAGCTAAGGCGGGGCTTACGGACGAAGGTGAGATTGCGGGTCGAGCGAGCTTCTAGCGCCTTTGTCGCGCACTTTCAAGCCGCAAAAGGGGCGCGACATCAACGCTTGTCCGCCTGTCTACTACTCTCGGGTATGGAGCAGGTAAGAGTGCTGAATCTCGAAGCGTGCCTTCAATGGAAGTATAATGGATTGTGCACAAAAAAGATCCCAAGATCCCAAGGAGGTCTGTCAATGCTGAAAACTCTGTGCTTACTCTCATTACAATTAGACAATTTTTGGCGACATCCTATGCTTAAAAAAAGAGATATTTCCAAAAGTACCAGCTCCTGTCCTTCCAACAATTCCGACTTTTTCCTTTGATGCAATGCTTACGGAAACGTCTTTGAGTACTGGTTCCAGGCCAGTCCGATACCTTAAAATGAGATAGCTCCATCGATACTGATTCAAAACTCGGGTACTTTCTCTAGTATTAAGTAAAATTTTGGAGAATGATAAGGAATGATTCATAAATCTTTAATATCTCAAAACAGTTATCGGGACCAAGTAACTCCGTCATGTTGAATTTCATTCAATTGTTAAAAAAGATTTGCCCACCTTAAGCAAACGTTTTTGATGTCAATTTTTCCCTGCTGTGGCCACGTGTCAGCCGGTTTCACATTGGAGTGGGCTCCTTCGACTGGACTGTCGCTGTACTCCTTGATTCGCTCCACCGCAACGATATTAGTCTCCAATTCACTTGTCATTCGCACGGCCCAGTTCAGCGTTTGCGTGATCTAATTCGTGATAATAAGTACTACCCAATAGTCATTGAATAACTTTGAAATCACAGCTTTTCTTGCTGGGTCAAACATCGACTACTTACATTCAGTGCGTAGGATACAGAAAGTCCCACAAGACCAGCAGTGAGGCCTGGAGAGTCTCGAAATAGGACTGCAAAAAGCGCCGAAAACATCACAATGAGATTTCCAACGAGTTCGAGACGTACGGCAAGCCATCTAAAATAACACGTTACATTCCCTTGAAAACAGTACATATTACCTATTCGCTGCGCCTATAGACGCCAATGCAGCTGTGTTCCCATTAGCAACAAAAGGCAAGCTCAGGATAAAATGAGGGTGCTTCTTGTTCGAATTTGATGTATGGAGTGCTAAGTGAATCAACACTGAATAAAAGCATGAAAACTGAGAAGTTCAAAATAGGAATCTCTCTCCTTTAGCTGCAACAAGCCAGGGCTGCGACCAGAGTCAACCCTGCGTTGCGCAGTTCGCAACGGCACGTTGAGAGATCCTCAACGCACGCTGTATGGGCGGAGACACAGACGGCTCGAGCATGCGAGTGTGAATGTTCGCGCGAGAGAACGTGTCTAATCGGGCGAAACTGCGCAACGTGGCCGTTGAGAACTGCGCAACGCAGGGTTGACTCTGGCTGCGACAAGGACAGGGTGTCCTAACATGTTCTCAGCAAATGCTGGCTTTATGCCGTCTATCGGCTTAGCTATTAAAACTCAACACACAGAACTGCTTGTTGCTAGTTTTCTTATTATTTTCTGCAGGATTTTTTCCTTTGTTTTTATCTGATTTTTCCGATAATCATCAGAATGGAGAAGAACGTTATCGATAAAGGGTCACACATAGACTTTATGTTGATTTCCGAAATTTGCTGAATATTGCCCCATTCGAACAACAGTTCAACGTTAAGTTTTCCGACATGACTGGGGGAGGTCACGTGGAACTGCGGGCAGGCTTAATGGGGTTGGGGCGGCACGGCTCCATAGAAAAGCTCACCGGCGGCGCGAACGCGCTCGCATTTTGGTGACGTCACAGCAGCGGTGACGCAGCGGAGAGGGGCACTATTACGCGCTCTCGTCCATGCCGAGAGTGAGCTTTTCTCTCCCCGGGCGGCACCGATACTTTGCCCTCGGGTTTTCGCTATAGGCTTGTCAAATCATTCCGCCATTCATGCACATGCTAAGCGCTCACGTACCATTGCATATTTCACGGGGAAAAGCTAAAGTTTGACCAGAAATCCCGAGCTTTGCCTTAGAGGGTCCACACCTCTTCACAACGGCAATTGCAGTCGCCTCATTGAAGTAAGTAAAGACATCAATACATGAAATTTTAAGGGAGCACGTTCACAATATAACACTGTAGCGGAAAACCAATCCAATGCTCCAATGTTTCCAACAACAGACCGATTCGCCTACGATGCTGGGATAAGTAAGTAGCGAGGTTCTCGTCCACTCTTCGTTCCGATTCCTTAACGAATTCGTCGACTAGTCTGTAGGCTCTGATTGAAGCTGCTCCTTGGATGGATTCCTAAAACGAACCGTTCGACAGTTCAATTGCAGAAGAGTCAAATTAGAATTCGAGAGACGTACTTGGAAGTGGGAGTAGATGGGCGACCTTGAAGCTGACTCAAGGCGCTTCAACTGACGTGATGTGCTTACGTAGAATCTCTGGAAACAGTAACAATGAAGAACTCATTCTTTGAAGTAGGGGTAAGAAGGCGGACCTCAGCAACGCGCAGGGAGATCAAAGCTCGCGCACTCATCCCTCATAAAACATAGAGAACCATATAGCCGGTCCCTCCGTTTTAAGAGGGATGAGAAGAAAAGGATTCTATGCCGGTGCGTCTCAAAGCGTCGGGAACTAGGAGTCAGAATTCTCGCTTATTTTATAAGTTACCTGGCCCCACCCGTCAGGAGATTCAGGAGAGTGTGTTCGTCTCATGTTTCTCCAACCCTACTCGCCTTGGATATGGAGAGTCCTTCTGAAAGTATTACTTTCACTCCCGACCTTACCGTAGTCTACACATTGAATGGTACCTACACATCAATTATAGACTAGTAATTAGCGCGTTCTCAACCTCCGAAAAAGAGAGGCAATTTTTTACGCAGATTTCAAAACAAAGGCAGTAAAGAATATTTTGAGAATACGCGGCATTACTCTCTATTAGCTCTGCCTCATTTAACCAAGTTCTCCAAAGCCCAGGTGCAGGCGAAAAGTGACTTCAATACACGAGAATATTGCTTTGTCCGGGGTTTAATATTTAAGGTGACATACTCCAAGGTGAAAAAAATATGCGCACTTGACTGAGCGCCCTACGCCATTGCTGAGGTATTGCCTGATTAGTAGGAGGTTTAGTAGGGGACAGGGGAGAGGCTAAGTCGGTAAACACAAGCACACACAGCATAATACGTTGTAAGACACACCAAAAACAGGAAATAAATTGCAAACAGAGGTCCGAGCGCGGCTGCTGAAATCGGTGTCGACCAGATGATCACCGCGATAATTTCGGCGGAAGCAATCAGCGTGCGCACGAATGACATCAGAGATCGAGGAATGGCATTGTCGAGACAGTCGACATCCTTCAACGCAACATACAGACTACACACTAAAGCAACACAAAGCCAATACACAGTTAACAAACAATAAAAGCAGCATTGCACTACTTTGACAAACCACATTCTACTCAAGTTGCCCTTGCAATAGCTATTGTAAGAACATGTAAAGCAAATCCAGATAAGCAAGCCCCAAACACGTCTCCCTTGAGATTTCCGATAGACTTCCAAGCAGAAGCCATCGAATACAAGATCAAGCTCATCAGCTGGGCCGATTACACGAGAGTGCAGGGTGCACACCGGGTGTATTGTACTACAGTGTACAGGATGGCTAAAAAGAGGCAAAAAGCTCATACTCGGCACAGAGGTAATCCTGTGGTTTTCAGCCAAGTACAGAAATCACGACAGCAAAAATATTACATAAGTGTCTAAGGTAGTCGTAGTCATTGTCGATGTAAGCCTTCGTGAAGGGCTTTGCAGAATCAATGGTGTGTGCGACTGCTCAAATCTGTTTTGCCGACCTAACGCCTAAGCCCTCACAAGTAAGACGACCCACATGTTGTGGTGGTCCTCTCTAGAGTTTGTCTCCTATAAATTTTCAACAAGAGAATCTGGCAGTAAAGGATTTCAACTGCTCCATTACTGTCGCTGGGCAGACTCCTTTCAGGTGATTTCTATTGCCTTCACAACGTTCGCCAATTCTTGCTATGTTTTGGGTGTACATATGTAGTCATTCTAAAAAAGTTACTTTTTTCAAAACTCTGTTCTAGTACATTCACGTCGATTTTGACGTTCCTGTCCATGAAAAGGAACGATTAGATCATGCGCAATAAATGAGAAAACAAGTTTTTGGTTGAAACCTTCTACTTCTGGTAATTCCCCATAATGCTATATGGCTATTATTATGGCTTATTATGGCTCTTATGGCTTGCTAATGGGCTTGGGAAAGGGCGAAACTGCTATTTGTTTCACTGCTACCAATTGTTACTGATTCCCCAACGGTCGCAAACCATCACACCCTTCACCATGTGGTCAGTCTGTTCAACTTGGCGTCGACAGATGATGTAGGCTTTTCACGAAGTCGAAACAATTATAGTCTCGGATTGGTTTGTCGCCATGCCTTGTCAAATGAGTGATTCGTTGAGTGACTACCGTTATCCTCTAATCCTCCGGATGTGCAACGGACGTCAAAAGATAGAGTCAGGTGTTCAAAGCACATGGGTACGTGCGCCAAAATTCGCGGCATTGGGTCAAGTCATTCGGACTGCTTAGCTTTCTGGTCTCCTCTGCGCTCTCTTCTACAGACAGTAGCTCCGCCGCGGTTAGGGCGCGCCGTTTGTTGCTATTGGGGCAGCGCCATTGCTTTGGAGCGGCACGCTGCCAATATTCGATGAGGAGGGCACAGACGAGAGCAGAAAATTGACCGGATTGCGTGACTCATTTGACTGCTTTCTATGTTCTTTGCGCAAAAGGCCAAGGCCGCAAAAGGCCTTTGCGCAGGATGGTTAGATGGCGGCTTAGTTTGCAATGTCAAAAAACGAAAGTGTGAAGCTTCAAAAGGTGAATAAAAGAGGACTCCAGGTCGGATAGATTGATCAAATTATGGCAAAATTGACGTAAGGTCATGGAAGTCATAAGCAGCTGTTCAAGCGAGAAGCGCAGACGTGGACAGCACACTGACGCGATCCAAGGTGGAGTTCACAATGAAAAGCCAGCCCATCAGAAATCAAAGTAGAGGTGAACAGTATTCAAGTAAGAGGGAAAAAATAGGAAACCGCCCAGAACCCTCTTTGATTCCACGTTGATGCGACTTGTTCTCTTTAGTGCTATGCCTTCTCTCTATCGCATGGCTAAAGTCGGATGGGTTCCCTATCGGTGAGCGGAGGCGCGAGCGGCACGAGTATGGATGTGGTAGGCTGGTGGGGGCATACCCTTCGCTGTGAGTCGCACCCTTTGCGGGCCGCCAGCCTTTCAGCTAAGTAGTTCTCCTTTTTCGACTTGGACCTTACCATGGAATGCTCCATTAAAGGAAATTGTTCAAATAATCGGTTGACCCATTCGGCGGTCATGGTGATGGCGTTGAATGCTCATCAAGTAGTTTTCATAAATGCTTCTCAATGCGCGTAAAGCATCATCGTATCGTTTCATATGATAGAACCTAGAAAAGCGATCAAAATATGTGTGAAAAGGTGTGAAAGGGTGTGAGGCAGATTGTCAGTGTGGAAAATAGACGCATGTTCCTGTGCCGATTAGCGCACATGATTTTCAGCCATCCTGTACCTGAAGTAGTGTGAAAAAAACCCTATGAGGCAGATGCTCTACCGCAACTTCTGCGTCCCTTTTCACATTGTTAAGATATCGGTGATGAGAGTGTAATTCAAGCCCTTTCTCTGGACAGTATAGAAAAAAGGCGACATTTTAAAACAGCTCTGAGGACACCTACTGAAGCATTTCATGACCGCACAAGTGCCGTCATTGCTACACATATTAGTTGGAAGCAACACAGAAACAGCAAGACATGGAACAAAGGAGCAGGATAGTTCACACAAAGGCTAACGACAGAATAACGGTGTTAAACTCTGATTCACGCCTTACAGTACTGTAAGTATGTGGTATCCGCTGAAGCGCCCCCAATAGCCGTTTCCCCGTTCCAGAGCGTAAGCTATATCATAAACGCGTAAACGGGCACTACTTCCTGGAGTAGCGACGTGAGCGAGCGCGCATGCTTCCATCATTGCCGCGTGCGGTGGCTCCATTCGACAAAAAAGGCGCTATGTAGCTTATTGCGCACGGCAACGCACTTTTTTGGTCGAGTTTGGCATCAGGAAGTAACACCACACGAGCATCAAATGAGAGATATAAGCTACCAAAAGCTTCAGGAAGATCGTACTAGGACAAGTACGCAGCACTTGACGACAGGGAACGCAAAAACGGCCATGTGAAGGGCCTGTATAAGGGGCAAATCAGAATCTAAGTATTATGTAGGAAATGCGCATGCTAACCAGAATATAGAAATAGAAGACGAAGACTGGCACTAGAAGAAAGATGATCGGCGGCGTCGCGTAGATGGGCACCGCAACGATTATCAGCGCCTGTACGGCAGCGCCAATGAACGTCAGGATGGCACCCGGTAGTCGATAATCCAGACACTCCATATCCTGCATGCAATATTCAAAGCCACACACGATATCACCAATCAGGAGTGTAGAGCACATCTTTCCTTCTCAAATTTGAAATCCGCCGAACTGCGGCATCGAGCATCAGGGATGTGCCGAGAAAACTTCTATGTTCTCTCCGCAAAACGCGGTGCCACACTTCNNTGAGCGACCAATAATTTGAGTGAGGAAGAAATGCTCTACGCCCAACAATCAACCACTGGAACGCTGATAAAGTGAATTGCTCATCATCTGAGCTCGTTGCTCGGTCCAAATCTTGCCTTCAGATTTTCAAGTGAAATTCAAAGAAGTGTTGCAGTAGCTCTATTTGTTCTGAACGACTGGAAGCTTTGAATGCTTCTTCCGCGACTGACTTATTACTTTACATTGCGTCAAAAAAGATTAGTTGTGGTTGTTAGTAGCGAAAAAATCTCTTAAGATCTTACAGTAAGACTGCGCACTGAGTTGGCGCTAGCTGGTTACGCCGGTCCTTCCGGGAGCTTCACTGGTTTGTTCGGTCTGTATGCGGTAATCACCGTATCTTACCGTACAGTTTTACCGTAAGGAGCCGACCAATCAGATTATCGCAGAGGTGAGGCGCAAACTGCGCCCACACGATCAACGCCTAATGGGTTTTTAATTCGTTTTGTTCAGCAATTACTCACATCTAGATATCACAACTAAATTCGTTTTCGTACGCAATAAACACACCTATTCAGTTGCAGAAAGTATCAAAGTGGAACCTAAACCGAGCAGCCGTAGAGAAGTTCCACGCTACCGAATTTAAAGGAATCATTCACGGGAAATTGTATGCTTCCATCACTCACAGAAAAGTACTAGCGACCACTAGAGGTAATTTCATGGATGAACATTAACAAGCCTTCGAAAACCGCTCTTTGGCCAGTGTCAGATTTTGTGAATCCAGTGATTCGCTAGCGAATTGCGGGACACGAGCGCTGCTTCATCAAGCCGACGTGTGTACCAGCGTTTCGAACGATGTACCAGTGACTCGACAGTGCTTGAAAATTCCTCTTGTTTGCGCGTTGGCTCTTGCCACTTTCCCAAGCTCTCATGCCCTCGTGAGCTCGTGAGCGTCAAAAGCCAACCTTTAAAGGGAATCCTGCCACTTTCAAACAGTGCCGAGTCGGTGCATCGTTCGAACCGCTGGTTCACAGATCGATTTGCTGGTGCACCGCTCGAACTCGGCGATTCGCCCGATTCGCAAAGTCTGACACCGGTCTTTGGGCGCGGGTGGGCGGAGCCAATGGGTCTCTAAAAAGGACATGTTCGGTGCCTGACGTGTAATTCGTGTCATATAGTAAAATTACGTAACAACTGGCGCAGCCTACTCCTGAACTGTTTCGCAATCAGCAAAGGTAGGTCTGGTTCGAGCTTGGAAGGGAGGGGTGGGAGCTTTTCCTCTGAAGTCACTATTGGCATTTTAGCTGTTAGAAATAATTTTGTCCCGAAATGGTGAAGTGCTAGCTGCTTCCGTGTGGTTATTTTTGGGATTTTCTCTTGGAAACATCGTGTTGTGTTGAAATTTTTTCCATCGGGATTACAACGCTTCAATGCGCTTTATTGTTAAGTCGGCTCCGCCCATCTGTTCTTACAATGTGGTTTTCGAAGATTTGCTTCTTTTCGATAACTTTGCTTCATGCGTGGGGCTTTGTTTACCATATCTATCTCTATCGGTCGTAAGTAGTAGTTTTGTATGGAGAATGGAGGAGCACATAGTTTCATGAACAATTCCCTCAAGTTTGGACGACACTCTAAAATCGGAATTATTCAGATTCGTCTCGATAATCGACAGGTAGTAATAGGTGTGCACCTTTAGTCAGGATTGACCTTTCACACCTTCTTGCCGTGGTTATCTGGGCAGGTGCACCTTTAGTCAGGATTGACCTTTCACACCTCCTCGCCGTGGTTATCTCGCACCACCCTGTAACCTGCCTCTGGGTGGACCTCGCTTAATTAGCTGAGCTGAGTGCTGACCCAACTCCGACAGACTCATTATAGAGGATATTGATCGGTAATAAATTCATTTATGCAGTAGCGGTTGGAGGAAACAAAATATCAGAAAAAATGGATAAAAATGAGAGCTCAAAAAATAACTAATTTTTAGCTGACAGTACTCCGCAGTGCAAGCCGTTTTCCACGCAGAACAGCTACGAAAGGTGAAACTCCAGTTTGGGGGGGGGCACTCCATTGTTTCTCCAATGCTCAAGATAAGGATGAGAGCACTCATGACACGTAATCGGCTCATTTAGGTATACTTCTGATAAGTATCGCTGTAATGTGGAAGAAGTCCTAAGATGTCTTCACATTTCCGCCTCCATGGTCCATGGAAACGGTCCTGGACAAGGATAATGGGGCACCTTTGCCTAGGTCTCTAAGGGTGGAGGAGCACCAGGGTGGATGACCTGGGTAGAAAAGCGGATAGCGTGTGGGCAGGATGTGTGGAAACGGAGGACATCCACCTATCCTTATGAAAAGTACGCTCAAAATGAGACGTTTACTTATTATTTCATCATAGCGTTGGATAGCACAAATGAATGCTCCCTAGTACTACGGATAAGTTAGCAATGGAGTGGGCCCCCGAACTGATTACTGAAGTTTCACCTTACGAAATTGAAAGCTTCGCCTAACTTCCCTACAGGCAAACTAATTTATGAAAGTGCGTTGCCAAAACGGCGCATCTCAAGAAGAAATAGAACGACTTTGCAGTAGGATGTCAAGAAATGTCACTAATACATCTGTATAATCTGAATTTTTTGTTAACTATGCTAAAAATTTGTATAAATTAAACTTTGGTTTGTTTCCGTGAATATAATAAAGATAGACTTGATAATCAATACTGCGCATGAGAGCGATATGTTGGAGCGAGGTCAGCACTCAGCACACCTAATTAAGCAAGGTCTACCCAGAGGCAGGTTACAGGGTGGTGCGAGATAACCACGGCGAGGAGGTGTGAAAGGTCAATCCTGACTAAGTTCCCTCTCCCGTTTCTCTCCTCGGTAGTAATCGACATACCACAAAAGGAATACGTAGACTGATCGGTTATAGGCCTCTCTCGAAGGCAGAGCACTCAGTGGCAATTCACTTTATCACCGTTTCAATTCAAAATCTTCATAACATTTTCACCAAAATATACCAAATAAACTCACTGCAAACACAGTTTCGTCTTGAATGTCTAGAACCAGACGAAACTGTGAGGAAAAATCGATGTACGTTCACTGGATAGATATAGTAATAGTGCAGTCGAACACATCACACTACAAGAGCGTATCGGGGCTCGGATTATGAATTTCATGCAGGGGTCAGGGCCTTATGGGGTATCTATGCGTACCAGGACGACGATGTAGAAGACAGCAAGAAATACAAATGGAATGGCGACCAGTGGTGTCGCTATCACGATGACGACTAAAGTGGCGATGACGTTGAACACCGTCATGAGCATCGATCGAATCGATCCCGGTAATGTCGTATCGATCGCATCCATATCCTGTGACGTGAAATTTCAAGAAATAACACACTACAGGCTTAATGTTTTCAATAGGAAGTAACCATAAGCATGGCGTTAGATGACGTGCTTCTGGAACGTGTAGGTGTTACGGCAAACATACGGTGTAGAAGGAATGAGATGTTTGTTGGACAGTTAAGAATCAGTGTTAAGCTATTGAACCGACGAAACCGAGAGATTCGAATCAATTGTCGGTTGAATTCACTGCTGTTTTGAGAAGGACAACGACTGGACCAAAAGTCCAAAAAGCGACGAAGATAAGGCAGGAAGTGGCCAGCTTGATTTCTGCGGCAGTCTGTGTCAGTTCGCCGACACCCTCGTGCAGCAGACTCTCCACAGTGTCCGCGTCCAGCTCTTGGCCTTCTTCTTGTTGACAAAGTCAAGTGCATGCTTAGAAACCTAATTCCTACTTTACTATTCCTTGTAATGCTTTTTTGGGTTTCATTCCCAAAACGCATGTACTTTATAATTCGTCCCACGGAACGCTGCAGTGAACGATATGAGTGATCCGAAAATTTTATGTTGGCCATTCACGAGCTGAGGCGTGGCCTTGATGCTGATTGGTCGCATCGAGGCCAGCAAAACCATAGGAAAATTCATGTGTGCATTGGAATGCATTAAATTCATTCCAGTTTTTGCACGGATCGGCTATTACTTTCTTCGTGACACTCGCAGGAAACAACCTTTGAATTTTCTAGGAACTAACCAATCATTTCGGTTAAACTGCAAAAATAAATTATACTCTTCAAACTGCTACTACTTGCAACTGATTGAAAATCCAATAATGTTCAAGTTCGGAAAACGCGTGTCGTACCTTGCCAAACCGGTTGAGTATTCGACCAATGGGAGTAACATCAAAGAAGATCATCGGTGAGCGAAGGATGTTCTTGAGAATACCCTCGTGAAGCAACCGTGATGCTCCAACCATTCCTAGTGCCATAATTATCGAGGCGGCACAGACAAATAGAGCTGAAAAGCAGGGTATGACTGGTAGCTAACGTCTTCTTGACAAATGTTGATAAGGATCGAATTGTGCATGTAGAGTGCCATTCATCTGGAGCCTCTGCTCTCCGCTCCGAAAGCGAGATAATTGATATTTGAATGGTACTTGAACAAACCTTGTCCAACTCCCAAGGAGGCATAAATTGCTAAGCGAGTGTTTGTTTCGTAACTGCTTCCATTACTGGTTTTCTGGATCATTTCTGCGTCATCGGACCATTTTGCGAGCCATAGGTTGCTGGCCACCTGGAATTCGAACAATCCTTTTGAGCTTTTATTTGAATTATGCCTTTTCCACTGTTCCACCAATTCATTCATTTTCCGCAGGTAGTAAGTGAAACTAAATGAAGGGGCTGGATATGAAAGCGTAGGTTGGAGTAGGACAGATAGAGAAAGCAATGGAGGGAGTGGAGGTGAAAGCGCCGTTGTCTGCGATGATGCTGCACCTACATAAATAAATGGAGAAGCGGTCCTATGCATTTTGTCACAGCTAAATATACCATCGACCGCGCCTAAGTAGGTGACGGTACATGTTATATGCTGATGCAGGTGCTCACTTGAAGTGCCCATGAGATCAGCTCTTCCAGGAAGCTATGCGGAACGAAACGACAGAAGTTGCGTGCAAATAGCCTTAGTCAACGGTGTAGCAGAATCAACGTACAATCCGTGAGCTGGAGTATGAGCCGTAACAAGTTTTAGGCAACTAAAAGGAAGTGTCGCAAAATGCGACTCATTCAATAATCCCAGGCAAGTAACTGACTATGTTTACATTCTTTTGTGGCTCATTTAACATGAGGTTTCGGAAATCCTAGTTTTAGAGGTTTTTTGGAGAAGATTCTCTTCACAGAGAAATATATTAGGGTCTCAATAATCACGTATCCTCGCTGTATAAGCTTTCGCATTGCCTTCAGATTCCGTTAGGCCTGGCAGATTCTTCAGTAGCAACCCTTCAGTGCTCAAACAGTCGCTTTCAAACTCATTTCCCACGCTTCCATTTTCAACGACCCTGCTGCTGAAAAGCTCGCTTCGTCAGTTCTTGTCAGCCTCAAGGCGGATATCCACTTATTCATTCTATTTCTATTTTTCTATTTTTCGTCATCCCTGCATCTACTTATTCAGGTGAAGCTGGGAGACCTCTGCGGGACGTAATTCAATAGTCGAGGCTGGATTTTAATACACGAGATCACCCAACCAACCACTTAGTCAGCCGCTCATTGAAGTAGAGGGCAAAAATGTTAGTCATAGTTACTGATGTGATCCATAGAATGCAAACAACGGATAGAAGTCGCGCATGCGTCGAAGAGTAGGGAGACATGGGTGAGACGCGCAAACGCGTCACCCTCTCTCTTCAGTGTGCTAATATTACTTCGCTTGGGTGCGAGAAACCTCCCGTACTCTACAGTAATCACCATAATTATTTCACCGTACGAGCTCAAATCAGTTACCCCCCCCCCCCTCAACAGGTCGCCCACGACAAATTTGTGCGGCGCGACAAATGGTCTGCGTTGCAATGCTCCTCCTCAGGTCAGGTCACCTAAAATTGAGACACCACTCATTTGCTCGAAGCAAGCTTAGGACTAAGCCTAGGCCCAATCATAGGCTTAAGCATAAGCCAATGTGTAAGCATAAGCCTAACCTAAACCCAAGCTTAACCTTAGGCTTCAATGATCGCGCAGCTCTGGTGACCTGACCCCAGGAGGAGAACTGAACGTCTCCCCGAAAAAGTTTGCTACAAGCTTCCGCTTTAAAACCTCATCTGCATAAAAATGCTGACCCCCAAGACACTGCTGAGAATGTAGACGACGACAAAAAGCACTGCAAGATCGAATCCGATTGCTCGAATGTACGTCAGATACACCGTCCATTTAACCTGAAACCATATACAATATTACATAGGGAACACAGTGGACAGTGAAGAAGAAGCAATTGGACTGCGCATTACCTTTCCCGTTTCAACGGCTTCCTTCTCCACGAGCTTGCTCTTCTGGTGGGTCTTGTTCTCTTCACCGAGCAGAGCAACCTTCTCCTCGCCTTTTCCTACTACTACAGAATGTTCTTCTTCTGATTGTGAAGGGATCACGTTGCCGTTACTAGTTGGAGACGACAGTTCCCTCAGCGGAGTAGGGCTCTATAAATATTTTTTCCACCTTTGAGCTACTGTAACAAAATTCCTGTTGAAATTCTTGACATATAATTCATCAGTTTGGCTGTGCACGCACTCGCGTGCGTAACACGGGAATACAGTGGTATAAAGCAGTAGTCGAATAAACGCTTTATAACGTTTTCTATAACGCTAATATTCTATAACGCTTTCTGGTGAACTTCTCCCACTTCGATGCACGCTCCAACCGCCTCCAAATGTTGACCTCCCTTCCGTTGTCGGACTCTATCTACTTTTTTTCTGGTCTCCAGACTTCCTGGAAACGCGTTGTAACGTTTTATGGATAACTCCGCCCACACCGCTTCACGCCCCACCCATCTATAGCACTTGACAACCTTTCGTCATCAGACTCTATTGACTTGTTCTCGGTCTACGGGATCCTGAACCGAGTCATAGTCACTCGTGGACAACTCCGCCCACACTGGTGCGCCTCCGTCTACCCAGAGCAGTTGGCCTCCCTCCCAATGTCAGAACCCACTTTTTTCCCGGTCTCAAGGGCTTCTTGGAAGCTAATTATAAATTCGTAGCAAACTCCGCTCACCTCAGTTCAAGCTCCACCCACCAATAGCAACTAAACTCCCTTCCCTCAGGAACCTCTGAAAATTGTTTTCTCGGTCCATGGACACCGAATTATAAGGATGCATAATAAACATTATCCATTTAGTTTTCTCGGTCCATGGACTTTTAGGAACCGAATTATAAGGATGCATAATAAACATTATCCATTTAACGACTCCGACCACTGTCAGCGGGCTTCCACCCAGTTCAGGTATGCCGAGAACACCATGGATATCGCTCTCCTATACCGATTTTTTTCTGCGCCACAGGCTTTCTCCTAACCGAGCTATGAATTCTCCATTGGCATTCGTCCACTTGGAGAACGCTCTGCTCACTGCGGGCAGATCTCCCTAATTCAACTTACCAACTCATGGCACGCCTTCACTCATTTTCCCCGGTACTCAGGCTGTACTGTAAGCGACTCATAAATTTTGCCATTGGCAGCCCAATTGGGCGCGTGCCCCGCCCCGCAGTGAACGCAGCTTCACCCAGCTGATGTGTGCTTTGTAATTCTTGACGCATGCCTCACCCATCACAATCTTCACCTGGACCCGGTAGGTAGTGCTTCTGGTAGTACCCGAATTTCGTGACAGAAAGAGAAACAGTCACAAGGAAAGACAACAGACTTAGCACATCATTGGCTTGTTCGGAAAGTTATCGCCGATTTTGACCCTCAAATTCAAAAGTTCATATCTCGGTTCAAACAAAACAACTTTGATCGAAATAAAACTATTACATTCCTCATACCTTTGCCAACAAGACTGTATTCGATTGATCCGGATGGTGTAAGTGTTGGCTAAGGCTAAAAATTCGGCGAAGTTCGTTTCAAAACCATTTTGGACGTTTTGGGTTTTTGCGCCGCGTGGGACCACGGCGATTTTGCAGGCGCCGCCGCCTCACATCAAATCCGTGAATTTTGAGCTTTAAATACCCAAAACTCGGATGCAACAAAATGTTTAGAATGATATTCGATGTGTCAAACTTATCAGAAGGGACAACTGTAAAAAATCGATCGAATTGACGTTTTCTGGCGATGAAAGGCAAGTTTCAGTTGCTTTTGCTGTAGTGAACCTCAAAATTATTTTTGACGCGGTTGCTCCACTAAAAACATATGTCTTGCTATATGTGTGGGTCTGTACTTACTTCTACTGCTCTTTTTTATGACCAAGATTATCAGAATATAAAGGAAACTAGGAATGAACACAATTGGGAAATTCGTAGGGCTTAGAAAACCTTCGCTAAAAAGGAGCATATTCAACCATTCAATGAACCTCGCCGTGTCTAGTCATATTATGGTGTAGTCTATAGAATAGATGCAAAAAATTAGAAAAGAAGTAGCGCATGCGCGAAAAAAATAAATATTTTGTGTGTGCACGGTCCCACACGGTGCTCAAGGTGTGATGCGCATGCGCTGCACAATGTCGTCAACGTGTTAAGGAGACCTTCCAGATGGATGGAAGAGAAACAGTGGTAGGCAACAGATCCAGTATGTAAAATGTTTGCAATACAGTTTCGAGGGGAAACAAGTACATAAGTAGCCTAGAGCAGGCTGTTGAGTATGTTGCGTTCAAGACTTCAAAAAAGTGGAAATGTGATTCGGGATTAAAAAACAGTAGATTTGGATAGAGCGAGGAACGCGCTTTCTAACGATATAAATTGTTAGCAGTTTCTGAAAGTGACCCAGAAATAAAGCATTCAAAAGTGAGCTACTAAAAACGGCGGAAACTTTCCGAACAGCTCAATATATAGTAATGAGGGATGAGTTAACTTTGTTGTAAAACGGCCTCAGCATCGGCCTCTAAGATAGCCAGCACTTCTGAGCGTATCTAGTTCAGTAAAACCTGAATCACCTTTTCTAACAGCGGAGAAACGTTGGTGGCTTCCTGGCTCAGCTGCGACTCGATGCGTTTTCTTCGATCTGGACTCACTTTTTCCATTTCCATTAGGATTTCAGAGACGTCTTCTGCTAAACATTGAGCATTGCTTTTAATGAAGCTGTCTATACATTATGATTATCGGAACCATTAACCTTTTCATTTGAACATTCAATTTGATGATTACATTGATGGACTAGTCGAGAAAACTGACGTGGGACGCTTGCGTGGATCACGCTGCAGCCTGTCCTAACTGTATGGTATATTTTTTTGCTACAGAAACCATTCAATGGGATCGTTCGAATGATATCATCCATATCACAGAGATGTCTAAAAGTTGAGGAGACTTTGAAGGAGGTCACTCACAAGTCGTTGCATTCCATCATGGAACTTACAGCATTTCATGGAAGTCAGAAATGGAAAGGTACTGCTAATCTAGTCAAGAAATGAGTGCTTTCCATCAAAGATGCTGGCGTCCGAGTACGAAGATACGTTGCACAGACCAAAGGGATGGGTCCGCCATTACGGTGAGGATAGCGTTCACGTGGTTGTGGCACGGCGTAGGCTTAGTTACGGCCCACACAATGACTTGGCCGATGTACAAGACGGGTGCATCATCCTCCCCGATAAACCTGGTACCAATTAACCGACCACGGAGGGAAAGCTTGGTTAATCTGATTGTGAGCAGCATTTGATCGGGAAGTTCACTTTCGCGCCGCACGCGTGGAATTGGTGGTGCTCGCAAGGTACTACATACTCCGCATCGGCTCGAAATGGTATCAGGAAGAGTAATAATAGTTTAAGGTAAACAATAATAATATGAAATAATTTTCATGAGAATGCTGGGTTGTGAACAAAACTTTCGCCCCAGGCGGGACTAGAACCCGCACCTCTCGCTTTCCGGGCAAGTGCGCTACCAGTTACGCTACCGGGGCACCATTTCGCCCAACTCAGCTTTTTTGAAATGATAGTTATATCAGTAAAAATAGCAACAATATTACAAACAGCATACCATTGTCCCCAAAGCTGACACTTCGTCCACGTTTCTTTGTTTCCTCAACTAGGAATTCTTCAAGGAACTCGCTGAAAGCACCTTGACGTGCGATCAACTCGTGGTAAGTTCCCATTTCACTGATTTCACCTCCTGAAAACAAATAGGTGGTATACAGTAGGATGATCAGCGATCCGTCTACTTCGCTGAGACCGACCAAAATATTGCGCTAATAATTCAGTTCCTTACCCTTCATGACTATAACCTTGTCGCAATGTTTCAAGTAGTTCAAGCCATGAGTGACGAGTATGCGTGTTTTATGTGACAAAATTCCAGTTGCAGAAGCTGTAAGTGACTTGCTCATGCAGAACAATTCAAACAACAAAATTGATGATAAGGTAGAGAACATTAGCATTATGTCGATCTACTTACAGATAACGTTCTCGAAAATGTGCTTTCCTACATGAGAGTCGACGGCACTTAACGGATCGTCTAAGAGTATTATATCAGCATGTGAATACAGCGCCCGAGCAAGGGATACTCGTTGTTTTTGGCCTCCGGAGAGATTGATACCCTGAAATAAAAGAGATCCAGCTACATGGTTTCACCGGAAGCTGTAAAGTGCACCCATAGTTCATTATAAGTCTAGAAATGGACGATTAGGCTGCCATTACTATCGCTTCAAGCCCCGACGCATAACCTTGTTGATAAGCGACTCCTTTTTCCCGAGCGGGTATTTCTTTCTAAAGACGCTTTTACATAGAACAGCATTCAAAAGTTTTTGAAGGAAGTCCCTGAATTATCTTTCTTGTCATGTGCGGCTCAGCAATGTAATGTTGAAAGGAGACTTTCTGATCTATTCCTTCGCTTCCATCGACAATGAGGTTGTAATGGACTGTGGAGTGTTGCACAATGTTGGAGGTGATTCCCTCGAAGAACTGTTTTCAATGCACTTTTCCCAAATTGCTTTGAAATGAAAGTCGAGGAGACAATTCTTCTTTAAGGCTGTGGTCTGATGCCGTGCCACCAGCGAATGACTATCCGGAGACAGAGGACACAATCCTTGACAACACCTGCATTTTAGCTCCGCAGCTTTTATCAATAAAGGCAGCGATAACAACAGGTTCTGGGGGGGGGGGGTTCAAGGGGAGGAAGGCGCTCAATTGTATGCCAGGGGCGAAAAAAAAACAGAAAGAGTCAAGAAAACGCAAAATGGACTCCCTTGTTTGGGCCTTAATTTCCACTTATGGACGGGACGAACAACAGCTGAGGTAGCGGATTTACGAACGAGTTTACCGCGATGTGTTTGATGGCACCATGCCAAACTATAGCTGAGTTGCTCCAGTTTTGTCGGATGATGGCAACACAACTCGCCTGTTCACTGGGTGGAGCGATTAGGGGACGGGCGATATTTGAATACTGCAGAGCGATCAGCGCACCTTCCAACGTGAAAGCGCTCCACCTCGCTCCCTTGGCAGCCCAGCTACTGCTTCTTGAGATGCATATGCTTCGCCGATGCGGTCCCTCTTTCACGTACTCGTTCCCTCTAAGTAAGGGTGGTACAAAATACAAGTTCGAGATGGCGCCGGTGTCATCGGTACAAGACGAAACCAGTCTCCATGTTGCAAAACGAGAGTAAAAGCAAATCAAACATCCCTAGTAGTAGAGTAGTATCACAGTGAATGTTATTGCTAACATTGTCGCTCTGACGCTGTCAAAATAGGAGCAAAGTCGGCATTTCAAAAAATGCGACACAATTTCCCCACAAACTTGTTGAATCGTCACATCCCCGCGCGCGCTGCGATTTACAGATCATACCTGGCCGTCTGATTGGGCGGTTTTACGGACTTGACGTGGATCGCCGCGCTAGATCGAAGTCGCGCGGATAAGCTGTTTTCAACATACTTTGATGAATATAGCGAAGTATGTTGGAAACAGCTCATCCCCCGACTTTTGTCAAGCGCAGTACGCCATTTCCGGTGCCACGCCTAATCAGACCTCGAGATATGGCCTGTACAATAATTTTGGAGTAGTTTTCAAAGCAAATCCTACCTTCTCGCCAATTTCAGTCATATCCTCAGCTGGAAGGCTTGCCAAATCTTGTCGCAGTGCACAAGCGTCTAGCACTTTTTCATAAAACATTCGATCGTAGGTACGATTAAAGAGAATATTATTCCTTAGAGAGAGGTTCTGAATCCACGCCTGTTGTGGAACATATGCGATCGAGCCGCTCACATTAACACTGCCACTAATTTTGTTCATTTCGCCTGAAAATTATCATCTAAAGTAAACTATGAAACATGCATTTCCGAAGGGAACACTGACAAATATGAGAGCTAAGATCGACTTTCAGTGCAAGCTGATAAAATCGAAACACTTCCTGTTCATCATTCGAAAGGAAATACAGGAAGATAAGGCATAAATCGCCTGATTAATCAGTCCCCTTCTACGGAGTGAGTCTTACATTCGACTTCCGTTGAGAATGGAAATGACTTACAAACCGGCATCCGACCTACAGAGTAATAGTGTGGGGAACGGGTAATGGCCAAGTGAGTATTGTTATGCTTTTTGACTCTATTCGCGCCCTGCATGTAACTGAATCCGGAGTGGTGAAAAGCTGATGGATCAATCTAGAGACCAAATCCAGTTCGAGGTCTTGCCACAACCATGATCTCTTATAGCAATGTCGCTTCTTACTGTTCCTCCACCGCACTCAAACGATAAGAAGATAGCCAGACGATAGGTCAATGAGTCGAGCACGCAAACAGTGAGCTGATAAAATAATAAAGCAGAAGCGTACAAACCTAAAATAGCTTGGAGTAAACTGCTTTTTCCTGCGCCGACTTTGCCAACAATAGCTACAAGTTGACCGCGTCCAACGGACATAGTAATGTTCCTCAATGTCTCCTCCACATCTCCGTTTTCCCATGCAAATGTGGCGTTCTCGATCTTCACTGCTTCATCTATAATCAGTGATTGAAGCTAAAAAGACGACTTTACAAGATAGCTTGGTCCGTACCAGTGTACTTATTTCCCACGGCATTTGAATCCATTTCTTCCTCAGCGAAAAATGCTCGAAGACGTTTGTTGCTTACGTGACATTGAACAGCCTGGAAAATAAGCGCTCATATTGGAATGTGCTATAGTTGGATTCACGAAGGCTTGCCCATGATTGGAGGTCATGGGCAACAACCAATCACATCCACGCATGCACACGCGCCGTGGAGCTCACTTCAAATCCCTATGCACAACCGCTACAGCACTTCAAAGAAAAAAAGGTCTAATTTTTTGATTGCTTTTATTATTGAATGCACCACTATTACCTGACTGAATATCATGGCGAAGATCGCCAATGGAAAACGAAGAATGTTGAATAGAGCCAGAGCAACGAATGTCACTTGTGGAGTTAAGACATTATTGTCTGGATCGGTGGTAACAAAAACAGCAAAGGACAGTACTGCTACCTGAAATCCAATTTGGTGAGCAGCAAATCAAATTAACCTTGTGTAGTCTCGGCAAAGATCGAGATAAGAGCAAAATCAAACGTGATTCACATTTCACTACCCTTTGAACGGTTTTGAAGCTTCTGAAGTTTTCTTCGAAGTCAATTTATCTTATATTCTATGCAATTCTGTGAATATAACAAGAGGAACAACTCAGTCCCCTTGAAGTCTCATGCAATAATTTTATCGGCGCCTCCGACGTACATTTTTAAAGACGTGACCTTTACAAAGCTCCTTATCGCCTATCTTTGATTGAGTAGGATAAAGACGAGCACACTGCTGTTCCGACTTTTTTCGCATAATACACGCTTTACACCATTTACCTAATGAAAGGCTATGAGTTCACTCAATCATGGAAAAGGTCGTCATTGGTCCCAAACTCGTGGAAGGTGGCGCCCCATGCTGTGGCGGCTCGCGACGACGGTCCTGAGTGCATCGCACGCTCGCACTTGTCGCGCAGCTGGTCGTGTTGACGGCGCATGCACCGACAAGCGGGCATGCTCCCCCCTGAGGCACGTTGTAGCCCACAAACCCTCATTCCTGAATTAGGATTCCGTGAGGCTCTGGGGCCTGAGGCCATGTATGCGAGAAACTGCATGATCCCCGGGAAGGGCCCGTAGAAGCAACGTGTGCCTGGGAAAGGCCACGGAGGGTCTCGAATCACCGTCGATGCGTCGATGTTGGAGAGTTAGGAGCCGCTCCCGAACCACGACAAAGTTATGTTTCATTGTGAGGTTGCATTTATTTCAGTGGTTTTTGCACTTTTGAACATGCTTTTTTCAAAATATGAAGCCACGGTATCCTTAGTCCGTTCTCGGCAATGAGCTTTTTTGATTTCACTCCCACTTTGAAAAAAGATCATAATAGGTCGTTGGTTGAATTTTGGTGAGAAATAGTCAAGTTGTTGCAAATGAAATGAGAGAAAGTTCAATTCTCTCTGTCCCTACCAGGCGAGCTATATTTACCACCTACCACGGAATGTGTTAGAATTCCCATACACTTCAAAAAAGACCTCAAGCTATACACACTGCAACGTTGACTAAAAGTATGGGCACAACTCTACGTAAACGTTCTGAGGAAAAAGTGAGCGGTCAAAGTTGACAAAAGGTGGTACACTATGAGGTAAGCTTAGTTAATAAAAGTTGCCGACAGCAGTGGTTGGGCTCTCGCCTTGCAGGTAGTCCGTTGCGGGTCTACTCCCCATTAGAGTAAAAGTCGCGTGGAGGAAATGGCTGCGTCGGTGCGATTCTCTCATTTGCGAAGATTCCAGTGCGACCTCTTCTACCCTACGTACATTCAGTTTTAGAGATTTTAGAGTTCTCTTTTTTTAGAGAGCAGTACTAGTTTCGGATACGGGGAAAAGGCAATTGAGTGTCGCTGTAAGGCGAATGCCCCATGGATTTAATTCCGAACCTAATTCTGTTCTGACTTTTTCGGAAGACTGCAACTGCGCAACGGCAACCTGGTACCGCACAGATTGGATAGCCTCATATACGGGCTTGTTGATCGAGCGCACACAACCTCCTCTGATCCGTTCACACATACATGTCTGCAATCTGCGCCTTCCAAGCCCTATCGTAGTCTCCTCAAAGTCCCTGGGATGTAGAGGTCCTCCCCTAGGTAATCAACAGCAAGACATCTCCACTGTCATTTAAATAAGCCGCTACGTCGTAATCAACCTTGCGTGTCGTAGTGGGTGCGCGAGGTACTCGCATTAGCCGTTAGCTCACTTATTAGGATCCTAGCGCCACTGCCGTGCACGTTAAGCCGCGACAACAACACAACGTAATTCTACCTATACCTTACCCACAAAATAGATTTTTCGACACGACCTCCTCCAAGACTGTTGC